CTTCCTCTGGATGGCATTACCTTGGCCTCCAGTAACGCTGTGAGGAACCTTGGAGTCATTTTGACCAGGATATGTCCTTCAACGCACATATTAAACAAATATGTAAGACTGCTTTCTTCCATTTGTGCAACATCTCTAAAATTAGAAATATCCTGTCTCAGAGCGATGCTGAAAAACTAGTTCATGCATTTATTACTTCCAGGCTGGACGACTGTAATTCATTATTATCAGGATGTCCTAAAAACTCGCTGAAAAGCCTTCAGCTAATCCAAAATGCTGCAGCAAGAGTCCTGACAGGGCTAGAAAGAGAGAGCATATTTCTCCTGTTTTGGCTTCCCTTCATTGGCTTCCTGTTAAATCCAGAATTGAATTCAAAATCCTGCTCCTCACATACAAGGTCTTAAATAATCAGGCCCCATCTTATCTTAATGACCTTGTAGTACCATATCACCCTATTAGAGCACTTCGCTCCCTGAGCCTGGTTCTGCTGGACGTTTCTTCCTGTTAAAAGGGAGTTTTTCCTTCCCACTGACGCCAAAGTGCTTGCTCATAGGGGTCATATGATTGTTGGATTTTTCTCTGTATCTGTTATTGTACAATCTACTGTCCAATATAAAGCACCTTGAGGCCACTGTTGTTGTGATTTGACGTTATATTAAATAAAAAATTGAATTGAATCTAATTGAATTATTGGCTCTTTTGCTTTCACTCTGTGGTCCATCTCGTCCCAAACTATTTCCATTGGGTTTAGGTCAGGTGACTGTGGAGGCCAGGCCTCCATCACTCTCTTTCTTGGTCAAATAGTTCTGTCACGGCTGCCGAGGTGAGCCGTGTGGAGTTGGAAAAAGGACCCAAGAGCAAGCAGTGTATGAAAAGATTAGTGGAGTTCATTTACAAGGTGTCAGTGGCAGGAACAGAAACGAATAATGAGACAAGCTAACGGAAACCTACACTGGGGAAAACTAAAGAGCAACTAGAAATCCACAGGACACGGGGTGAAATGCAGAGAGACGCAGACTGACGGAGGATACAAAAAAACCGCAGAGAGACACAGCTGAATGCAGAAAAGCGCAGACTTACATGGAGTAATACAGACGAACCGGCAACAGGCAGGAGAACACACAGGGCTTAAATACACACACCAGTAATCAGGGATAAGAGACAGGAGGGCAACACAGCAGGGAGAAATCAGAGCTGACGGGACAGGGGAAATGTAAATTGAACACACTCACATCAGACATGAACCTTCAGAATAAAACAGGAAATTAACAGACAGAGAACCAGACAGGATACTGAACTTGACAGGCAGACTCATGAGCAGGCACAATAACACCATGGACAGACAGAGGGAACACAGAGAAGTGGGAGCAGGCAGGCAAAGAACAGAAACCTAACAAATGGCAAAATAACAACAGAATACACACTCGGAATGAACAAAAGCATAAAGAAACACAAAACACTGAGTCCTCAGACTCAGGACCATGACAAGTTCTTACACAGCCTGGAGGTGTGTTTGGAATCATTGTCCTGTTGAAGAATAAATGATGGTCCAACTAAACCCAAACTGGATGAGATGGCATGCCGCTGCAGGATGCTGTGGTAGCCATGCTGGTTCAGTGTGTCTTCAATTTTGAATAAATCATCCAACAGTGTCACTAGCAAAGCACCCCCAAAACCATCACACCTCCACGGTGGGAACCATGCATGTAGAGACCATCCTTTCACCTTTTCTGTGTCGCACAAAGACACGGCAGGTGGAACCAAAGATCCCACATTTTGACTTGTCAGACCAAAACAGATTTCCACTGGTCTAATGTTCATTCCATGTTTTTCTCGGCCCAAACAAATCTCTTCTGATTGTTGCTTTTTCTTAGTTGTGGTTTCTTAACAGCTATTCGACATATAGGTCTGATTCATACCGTCTCCTCTGAGCAGTTGTTGTAGAGATATTTCTGCTACTGGAACTCTGTGTGGCATTTATCTGGGCTCTAATCTAAGGTTCTGTTAACTTAAGGTTTCTGAGGCTGTTGACTTGGACGAATTTATCCTCAGTAGCAGAGGTGACTCTTGGTCTTTCCTGGGGCGGTCTTCGTGTGATCCAGTTTCATTGTAGCGCTTGATGGTTTTTGCAACTGCACTCAGGACACATTCAAAGTTTTTGCAATTTTCCAGACTGACTGACCTTCAATTCTTAAAGTAACAATGGAGTGTCGTTTTTCTTTACTTAGCATCTTGCCATAATATGAATTCTAACAGCTTTCAAATGTGTACCAACCTGACTTCTGTCCAACACAACTGATGGTCTCAACCCCATTAAGAAGGCAAGAAATTCCACAAATGAACCCTGACAGTGCACAGCTGTGAAGTGAAATCATTTCAGGTAACTTTTGTCATGTAATGCTGTGGCAGGCAGGATAAGGTCCCAAAAGCCGCACTCACAGATACAGATGGATGAACTTAAGGAGGTAGCTTTATTGCTGTATAACCATATAAAAACCTCAAGAACACAGAACTCAAACTAGGAAACTAAACTGGAACTAGGACATTATTAGGAGCACGGAAGAAACACACAGCAAAGAGGATACAACATGACAACAGACAGAGGAAAACACAGGGCTTAAATACACAAAGGGATAATGAGGGAATGAGACACAGGAGGAAAACATAGCTGGGAGAAATCACACATAACGAGATGTGGAGGAAGCAAAACTGCAAACAATAAGTACGGGACACAAGACTTTCAAAGTAAAACAGGAACTAAGAGACATTTACAAAGCCGCCGACTTGACACTGAGACATGGAGACACAACTAACTGAGGAGACAGAGGGTACATGGAGACAAGCGTGATTAGAAAGTAACAAAGTAACAGAAACCTAAAGCCTAGGAACCAAGAATATAACACCAGCAGAAAAACAATAAAGAGAACCAAAACCATGAAGAACAACAAATTCAAGACTATACCTTTAACTAGAATTACACCTACTGGGTCTCTGTGACAACTACATGATGAAACTCACTGAGAAAAGGCCAAGGGTTTGCAGTACTGTCAACAAAGCAAAGTGTGGCTACTTTCAGGAATCTAGAATATAAAACATATTTAGAGTTATTTTTTTATTTATTCTTTGCTACATAATTCCATAAATCTTGCTTCATATATTTGACATGTTCAGTATCTATCTACAATGAAGAAAGTAGTAAAAATAAAGAAAAACCGTTAAATGAGAAGCCGTGTCCAAACTTTTTCCAGTATCCTTGTCACAGCACCATCTGTCATTACCTCCTACACAGTCCAAAAGTCCATTTACTGCTCTTTATCTTTATGAAGTTGCTTTTAAGCAACTACTTCATATTTTTCTGTATATTCAGCACATAGACTCTTTATTCTTGACAGTATTTATTTATTTTTTATGTATTTGTTGCCATTTATAATGAAAAAACGTGATATGCTCAAGTCCTTACACAATAATTTAATATTGTAGTTGAGATTTGTGTTAAATGTATTTTTCTGAGTCAAATAGCATAAAACATTTTATTTATTAACCTTGTTGTTTTTTGTGATGGTTAGCAGCTGCTGTTCTGCTTTTCTGCTGACAGATACTGCAAATGTAAGTTGACAGAATAATGGATAGACAGAGGCTTAACATTAAGGTTTAATGTAGGTGTGCGCGCTCAATTAAATCCAGCATTTATGAAAGCATATTTTTTGTCAGCTGTTTTCTATATTTGTTGATGTCACTGTCGAAGCCTTCTCATAACCCTACAAAAATGGATTATAGCTCAGAACATAGGCATCAAATATTTGAACAGTGTAAAATAAAAGTTTAGTGCACACAGAGCATTTATAGTTTATGGTCCCACACTGCTCGCTTGCGTCAGTTGACCAGCAGGTTTTAGTGCCTGTTGTTCCAGACCGGACAGGCTTTCTCAGTTGTAGCTCCTAAACTCTGGAACGGCATCCCTCAACAGATCTAGTCACCTACCTGATAACAGCACCTCCCCACTGAAAACACAGCACCCTGCTTACCCTTTTCAGGTTAGGATTTGGTGCAAAACACAGCTATATCCAAGACTTGCCCAAGTGTATCTTTGAAAAAAGATGTTTGTTTGTTTTTTACAATGATTTTTCATTTTTACTATAGTGCTTTAATGGCCTCTCAGTTACTTGCTGTGCAGCAGTTGGTCAACATTTGATTATGCTGAATACTTACAGCAGATTTTACAGTATCTTGATACTGAATTCCGTTAAAATGGAGCTTACATGATTCCTTGTCCCCTCATTTGTTGAGCCTGAGTAAATACACTTTGGATGTAGAACATTAGTTTATCTGACAATTCTCTTGGAATAAAAAGTGAAATATATATTATAGCTGAAAATGTTGTGCAAGTAGAAACTTAAACTATCACAAAATGTAAACTGCATCTCAAAACTAAGTATTGGCTCTGATACATGCCCTCCATAGAGAAGTTACTAAAAAGATTCAAACACTGAAACTTTTTCAAATAATAAAATCTAAACTGAAATGAGAAAATCCATTATGGAAACTCATTGAAACTTAAATGAATTTAAAAAAAAAAAGGATAAAACTTAATTTAAAAATTGGAATATACAAAGCTAGAATAACCGAGTGGTAGAAAAGAGGTCTTTCTCACACACTCATTTCTTTTAAGATAATCTAGTAAAGGGAAGTTGGGGAATGGCAGTGGGCCAAACTGCTGCAAGTGAATTGTTCAGTGATTAAAATGTACTGTTTAAATTTACTCCATTACCAAACTGTTATGGGACAGGCAAATCTCCGAAAGCCCTTATATGGGGGCAAGGGAAGCCACGATTAAGATCATTTCCTTTAACTCTATACCCTCCTCCTGGTGGAACAAAGCAGGTAGGTTTTATTTGGAGGCTCGCGCATGACAAGTAGGGGGAGCTCGTGCGCAGCTGGTGTCTCTCACCAACCAGAAAGAGAGCGAGAGAGAGAGGAGAGAGAGAGAGGGTGGGGGGAGAGAGAGAGGCCGTCGGGTACAGAGTGGGGGTTACCACAGGACACTCGTGTACCGCTGCTGGACCTCAGCTACTAGCAACAAGCAGCGCTCCTGACTGCCTCGGATTATCTCTCCGGCTTTCCTCACCTCTGGATATTCTGCTCTTTACATATACAGCAGCAACTTCAAAGTCCCACACCGCTCACATTTGCACATTTGGGCTTTTTTTCGTTTTTTGCGTATTTTTGCTTTTAATGCGTGCACTCTCTAAACCGGAGCGAGCGACGCACCAACCGACCGGACCGATTTACTTTAAGGCTTTGGTTACATTCATTGACAGCGTGCGTGGATTTCAGGACAGAGTGTACTGGCTGTGACATTACGGAGCACAATGTCGGTGAAAAAGACTTCACCTGGGTGGCTTCAGGGGCAAGTTGTATGACACGATATATTTAGCCTAATAGAAAATAGGAGCTGTGGATCAGCGGACGCAGGCGGCAGCCCACACTCACTATGAAGTAAAACATGACACACGACTGTGTGACGGTGCGAGAGGCGACTGGAGCGACAGTGTTTCTCTCCCCTGGCTTTTAGTCTTTTCGTCTTTTCAGGGCTTCGAGGTAGCAGCGGCACTTGGGTTGTTAGCACTTGTAGCATTTGGACTGTAGCGATGTTTAATTTGTGAAAGAGACACAAAAGAATACATGAATAACATCACAAAAGACGGCAAAGTTTGACTGTTAACTACGTTTGTCCGAAGCCTGAAAGGTCACCGGGAATCCTCCTCCTCCTCTGGCTCCTATCAGTCTGTTATGAAGATGTGAACTCTTCCTTCCCTCCGCTCCTCTTTCTCTCATCGCCGTCCAGGACGCTTTGATCTTCTCCCCCCCTCCCTCTATTTACCACACAGAGACCACATCCCGACTCCCGCCTCTCGGAGATGTACGAAAGCGTGGATGTTGTGGGTTTAAGCCCAAGCCCCAGCAGCCCAAGCACGGGCTCTTTTCTAAGCATGGACTACTACCACAGACCCCCGGGGCTCGGGCCGGAGAAGGGACTCTTGTCCGTTGTAGGAGGACTCCAGCGCCCCTTTGGAGGGTCTCTGCTGACCGGCAGGCACTGGAGCGGATCCAGCCACTGTGAGTGAGACAAAGATTATTTGTCATGTTGGAGTTTTACACAGAGCGCTGCATCATCGGCCATAGATCTGTAGTAGTACTTAAATGAGTTAAAACAAGTACCAGGGGAGTGCAGGATAATCCAGCGCTCATGCTGGAGTATTCTTGTCAGCTGAAGGGAATGAGTACATCCGTTAGCTGAGGCCAGCTGGGACACATGCCAGCATCCTCTTCGAGCTGCCACGGTTTGTTTTTAGCCTGCTGAATGAGAAGTGAGGACACAGCTACACCATTTAGCTTTTCTTAGCTAGTGTCCTTAATTAATAACGTGCTTTAAAGTCTTTACAGCTTTTGTGAGCTTTTGGTCACAGCTGTCACCTGTGTGTCAGGACGGTTTGGACAAAAATATAAAGACATAAACTGGTCCCAGCTGTTTCACTTTGTCATCGCGTTTCCTCTTTTTCAATTGTAATTGACACATGCTGTGTGTCATCTCGGGCTTTAGCTAATTTTGATCAGTACCTTTACACCACTTTCAGACATTTTTTTTAAGCCAAACTTTGAGTTATGAATTAAGAATGCGCTTAATCTACCGATTAAAATTGTGGTTTGTCGCAAGTGTCCATATTATAAACTTACAATTCTATAAAGTGTTCATATAATCGTACATTTATTTATTTAGTTACCAATGAACTATTGGACACACACACTTGAAACTGAAACAAACGCAGATTGTAAATAAAACTGGGATTAATGTTTTCGGTAACAACTAAGGCCCGTAGGCATCTTTTATTGGTATTATTTGTTCATTTTGATTATATTGTTTTTTCCCTTTTCAGCCCAGGACAAAATCTTTGTTATTGAAGTTAAAAGTCTTTAGTGATTTAAAGTCTTTCAGCCCATTGTCACAAAATCGCTACATTGATCTGACACAACAGACAAACCATGGTAACTGACATCATTACGTGACGTTGTTGCCCGTTGATATTTGCGTCCATGGTGCCATCAGCCAGTTAACCTCGGTGTGTCTAAACTGTAAAGATATGAATGACTGATAAAGAATATTCCAGTTTATGATAATGACTATCCTCTGAGTTTGAGTATCATGATGACTGCGTCATTTTGGTGCATAATGGCAAAACCACACATGTATGAGATGTGAGTGTGCATGATTGTCTCTGTGTGTGTGTTAGCCCTGTGACAGACCAGCGACCTGTCCAGGGTGTACCCTTCCTCTCACCCTAAGCTATCAGTGTGTGTGTGTGTATATATGTATATATATATATATATATATATATATATATACATGTGTGTATAATATATACATACATGTGTGTATAATATATACATACATGTGTGTATATATATGTACACACACATACATAGTATGCATAAGAATTTTGCTTTAAGAAGTAATCGGGGGAGGTGATGGCGCACTGTTTGGCCTCAGTTGTGGAATAATCTTTGCTCCTTACCATATAAGGTGCATAAATTTACCATCCAGACACTTTGATGCTTCGATGAGGTACGATATGTATGCAGAATATCAGTTTCAGCCATTATGTGCCCTGCTGACTGATCTCAGGGAATTAGATGTGATTTACAGTGGCCAGTATTCATCTGTTGTGTCACCTCCGTTTTGCACTGGCTAAATGTTCAGTGATGTTTGATATTAATAGCGCTGCTGCTTTCACTTCCTCCCTGGTACAAAAAGGGGGACAAAAACAAACTCAAACTGTAGAGACATCAGCTGTTGGCCGAATATTGACCGCAAATGGGTCAGGTAATTGAAACAGATTGGCAAGTAAATAGCAACAACAACTAGAAATAAAATCTCGGTATCTACTAATGCAAATTGTTGATTTGAAACACTGTTATTTACCTAGAATTTCACAACTGGTGCATCCCAGTTGTGGGAGGGTTGTTAAAGCCTGCTAAAGGTCGCATTCACTCGGGATGGGCTGCGCATGTGTCACAGGACTAACACGAGAATATATAAATACATAACTTCATTGATATGATTCGACAGTGTTGCCCCACCCCACTGTGACATGGCTGAAGCGCTAAGCCTGAGAGTCAGACTGTAACCCTGTGGTGATGCTGCAGTGATGTCACAGCTTGCACAACTGAGTAAAAGCAATAAAGAGGAAAAGTGCAAAGTGGACTCTGGTTAGCTGGTGAGAGGGGAGGGGGGGCATATAGGAACAAGAGAGGAGCGCTCGTAAATCCAGGCTGTAAAGATGGGGATGGTTGCCCTGTGTGTGTGTGTGTGTGTGTGTGTGTGTGTGTGTGTGTGTGTGTGTGTGTGTGTGTGTCTTTGCGTGACTGGAATGAAGAGTGTCAAACAAGTTCAAAGGCCAAAGGCTATACACAGACCCAGGCACACATATTCAGCAACAACACAGAAGCTGTGTGTGTGTGTGTGTGTGTGTGTGTGTGTGTGTGTGTGTGTGTGTGTGTGTGTGTGTGTGTGTGTCCCTCTTCTTGAATGTTTGTTGGGTGTGATCCAGAGCAATGACTCACTGACAATTGGGAAGTGACCTACATCTCCCCCTCCCTTTATTCCTCCTTCTATCTAACTCTTTCTTTCCTGTGTCAGCTGCCCAGTCATCATTTCTCTGCACTGGATGACCTCTCTTTCTGTCTGTTGGAGGCAGTGATGCACACACACGCGCACACACACACAGTCACATTCACAGTTTGTCTGGGAATGCAAGGGTATGCTGGCCAAGTTTAACTGAAGTGTGCAAAAAAAGAGAAAAGAAAAAAAGGTGTTTTTTGTATTCCTGTGTGTCGGTGTGTATCCTATAATACAAATGTTAAAGAGTAGTCATGGAAACCTACTTATTAATTGATTTGCTTGAGACACAGTCCTCTGCTATACAAACTCTTGGTGTACAGTTCACATCTTCATGTCCTGGTCTCATCACTGGATGCATGAGAAAGAATGAAATGTAAACCAGCCACACAAACACTTTGTTGTTTCATATTCGTAACATGCTAATTATCGCTCATATCCACTGACTGTATGTCAAAGATGGACACGGCTACTGATTTTGGACTCTGCATTTTTAAGCCTGAAGGTCAGTGCTTTGGAGCTGTGACTACAGTCGAGGCCAAAATGTTGGCGGTAGAAACTTTGACTTGTATAGTTTCCAAATGCCTTGATTGCATTTCATGCCGAAAGTTTGTCACTTGCTGAAATTTAGTCATTGCAAACTGTTGAGTAAGTTTTAAAAATGTAAACTAGATAAGCTTTCATATGGTCATTTATTTCTATTTTTTGTTTTTCTGAGAAAATGTTGACTGCCAACTCAGTGGGCTAAGTTTCTGTTGTGGCGATCCACAGCTGGATCCTTGCAGAGGGTCTCTTGAAGGACATAGTTGAGCTTCATCACATTGGACTACAGCTGGAGACAGAAGTCCTTGTTCCGCTCTGGAGAACTACTGCGAGCTGTGTTACTCTAACCTGGATCTGCAGAAAGAGGAGAACTGGTTGACGTGCTGCCACAGCTCATTGGCTGCAGAGCAGAACAACGACTGTCGCTCTCAGCTGCAGTGCAAGACATTGGAGCAAGAGTTCATTCACAGAGCCAGCAGAGAAGAAGCTGTTAGTGCTGTTACGCCTGAAAGTAGTGCACTGTGCAAGCCTCCGTACATATTTCAGGATGTCAGTCGGACAGTTTGAGCTCTTGTTGGCAGAGTTGGGGCCACATTTGAGGAGCCAAATAGATCATGTCAGAGATCCGATTGACCGGGATATGTTCAATACCGCTGAGCGTACCGCAAGCTACAAATGCACTTGTTGCCAAATGCAGCGTTCTGATTGGTCAGTCTGTCTTTTGGTCTGTTATTTACATTAAAAAATAAATAAATAAATAAATAAATGCAGCATAAAATCAGTTTAACAAACTTTGAAATATGAATCTTAGGCATAAAATTCAACCGTAAGGCCTTTTATAGTTCAATGTGGCAAGTGTGTGTAATACAAGCTGTCCTTGTGGTTGCGTTATGTTATTAGGTCAGAGTGAGCACATCATTGTGTAGTCACTGCTTTTTGGCAATACTGGATTTACAGGATTGTTGATAGTTATGAAATAACTTGATTTAATCATTATTACACAATGTAATAAGCCAAACACGAACATCGTCATCCCATTCAGTGCAGTACTTTCAGCTGCAGGCTTACAGCAGGTAGTTCTGCATGTTTGGTTTGTCTCTCATTCAGGAATCAAACCAGGGAGCGTTCACTTGTTAGACAATCGTGTAAGCCAGCGGTCCCCAACCTTTTTTGCACCACGGACCGGTCAGACAATGTGAGACAATATTTTCACCGGCCTTTAAGGTGTGACGGATAAATACAACAAAATAAAATGACAGGACCAAGACAAAAACTGTTGTATTTTGTAAATATAATAATAAACGCGAATTCACTGTGTAATTGTGTAACTTTATTAGCATTAACAACATTTAGAGTAACATCCTCCTCTCTGCCCCTTAATGCTCTCTGGTCGCTATAGTAACACGTAAATATTTCTTTCAAAATAAGACACACAAGTTAATGGTGAAAACCCTGAAAACCATGAATTTCACCCCAAACCTCAACTCTCGCGGCTCGGTACCAAACGACTCACAGACCGGTACCGGTCCGTGGCCCCGGGGGTTTGGGACCGCTGGTGTAAGCCACGTCACTGCTGATTCCAGCTGCAATGAGCTTTTCAGTACAGCTCGTTATCATTGTGATATGGAACAAGATGATGGAGGAATTTCATCCATATTGCTCGATTAGAGGTGAAACGAGCTAGTGTCTAACCAAGAAAATTCTTCAAAAGTAATAAAGATGGTATGAAAGTCAAGTTTAAGAACTTCCTGGTTGCCGTCTCTCTGTGTTTCTGGTCTCTAAGCTGGCAGATCACACTCTCTATTCAGCAGAGGCTTGCTGGCGCCATGCCATGACTGCCTGGGGCTCCCATTTAACAATATTTTACATCAGATTGGTGAAACGGCTCAGCCCAGCACTGGCTAACATTTCATGCTGCTGCTGCTGGTCGTGAGCTGACCCCAGGACACAGTTTGGCTGAGCACACCAGACTCTGAAGGGTTTAACCATTTGTTGACCTGAGTAAACCTCAAGGCTCAAATTAATATGGGCTTTACTAGGTAGCTGCAGGTGTTAAACTAACTTTTGGATAAAGTTTTATTTCGTATGTGTGCACAGTGCAGCTAGAAAAGCATTTCATTGTGTGCGTCTGTACTGCATCGGGACAGTAAAGCTAACGTTCTGGTTCAGGTTGGAAAAACTTAACCAGAGGATCCTGATAAGAAACAAAAGAGGTGATGACTAACTAAAGGGCTGATAAACCGAACACACGGCCCAGCTGGCCTCTCATCTTATTGAGACAAAAGCTCTTATCTCATGACCATAGAGCTTTAAAAGACGATCTTTTCTCTTCCTTAAAGGTACAACTTTAGTTTGTGCCTTTTTAAAGCAAACCAAATGTATACTGATACTCCACCCAAATCACTACAGCTGAAACCACCAATCTATTTTGCAGCAACCGTTAAAGGAAACTAAATCATCATATTTATAGGAATCATTTCAAAAGTAAAAGAGAAAAAAATGTGTACTTTATAGCTTCTCAATGGAAAGATTTTTGTCTGTCTGTCATGATCACTTATGAAAGTATTTGTAATGTAGTGCTATGTGTGGTTACAGTGCCATAACCTCACTTCAGATTGTACTTGAGAGGGCCACCTGATTCTATTTTGCAGTTCATTTGAACATTTATTATTTTTCACATCGGTTGAATGAATGGATACTAAAAAGTCACAGAACAAAACAATCAAATTTACACTGTATGTATATCAGAGTGCCATTTTAAGCCTTTATTCACATTTCTTATTAAATACATCATATTTAAAGTGTTTATGAAACACTGACGAAGGTCACACAGGCTGAAATGTTGTAACTGAATAAAATATTATGGTAAGCAGGACTGTCTGCCGAGGTGCTACTATATATTTTCCTGTCTGCACCTGTCATTGACTCAGTTGTGCAGAGTTTCCTAAAAAGAAAAAGTGTTTATAAAATGAAACGAGGCACTTGGTGACATATTGCATGCGAGATGCCAGATCAGATTGCCGTGTGTGGCTAACGCTGGCAGCAGCAGTCTTCATGTAGGTTAAAGTCCACATGCTGGTGCAGAATGTGGTTGCTCTCTGGTCGAGTGGTTATTCTTCAGCTCTCTGTGACATGTACATTCTGCTGTTCGTTTTCTACATCAAAGCCGTGCAGGTTTGCTGGTTAGGACAGCTTACTTTGCACCCACAGCTCTGAGGGTGAGGGCAGCAGCTTTTCCACGTCTGGCCATCCTAGTCACGCATATCCCCAAACAATGTGCCTGATAGGAAAAACTCATTTCACTCCTCTTTATAGAGTAACTTGAGAGTGTTTGATACAATCGGGTCTTTAGAAAGAGTTCTCTTGAGTTTTTGCACATGGGTGGCAAAATGACGCAGTGATTACCTCACTGAAGGTACTGTGTCCAAGTTTCCTCTCAGCTTTTTTATAAGCCTCCTGTAGTCACAGGCTTAAAAGGACTGGAAAAACTGTGATTAGTTGTAATTATTGGGATTATTCTTTGCAAAAATGAGCTAAAAATCCTCTGCGGTCAGTAAGTGTGTGAAGACAGGAACCATGGAGGTCACCAGATGCTGAAGTTTCCCTTCTTGAGAAACTTGGCCCAACATTTACAGCAGCTGTCTTCAGTTGTTGGTTCCAAAATTCCTAAAGTTTTGATTTCAGGAAATTAAAAGTCTTTAATATGTTTAATAAGTTTACTTTTTAAATTTAAATCCACCCCCCAAAACACTGTGACATAAAAAGATCTGTTTACTTAAATCTTTGTCTTATTGTTTGTTTGCTTTTTTGTAGAATTATTTCAAATGAATAACTGTAGATGTGCTCAAAATTGATCAAAACACTAGCATCTGTTCCTAAATCAAGTTGGAGACCCGTCTTTGGAGATGCCCTCTTACTCGCTTATACAGTAAAGACCTTTGCCCTCGTTTGGAGCCACAGCTCCAGCGCTGCAGTGTGTGTGTGTGTGTGTGTGTGTGTGTGTGTGTGTGTGTGTGTGTGTGTGTGTGTGTGTGTGTGTGTGTGCGTGTGAGTGTGTGTGTGTGTATGTGTGTGTGCGTGTGTGTGTGGACACACTGCTGCCTGTGGCCGTCATGTCCGACACACTGAAGCAGAAGTGGAAAGCAATAGGAAGAGATTAACAAACACAAAGATGAAAACAGAGAAAGAGGCACTTGGTAAGCAGAGGGGAGGGAACGCATGGCGAGAGGCGGGTCTGAGTGAGAAGTTTAAAAGAGGTCAGACGGTGCTTCAGGGAATGCATGGCTAGAGTGTCAGTGAGAAGAGAGCAAAGGCAAATAGAGGAAAGATGAAGTGAGGAGAAGATGGAGGAATGGTATGATGCGGCAGAGGAGGAGGATCTCTGCGTTTCTCTCTGTGTAAACAGAAGCACAGCAGAGTAGAGGGGAGTTGAATCTCCTCCATAGAGGAATGTCTGGTATGGCTACTAAAGGGGGAGGGTAGACGTGTGTGTGTGTGTGTGTGTGTGTGTGTGTGTGTGTGTGTGTGTGTGTGTGTGTGTGTGTGTGTGTGTGTGTGTGTGTGTGTGTGCGAGAGAGAGAGAGAGAATGTGTTAGGTCAGAGGAGGCAAAGTGGGAGAGGGAGTAGGGTTTGTTAATCTGAAGGGCCGAGACCTCCAAAGTAAATCACCGTTGAAGTTTACCTTTGAACAAAACAAGGCGTCAGCTTTGACAGAGACTCAGGAGCAGAGCAGCACTTAGTGCTAACACACAGCAACTCTGATCAGCAGGCTGATGTGATCCAGCTTTGTCGGGCCAAGTGTGTCCGGTGCTGGATGGTTGAGCTGATTACTGTGAGTTTGCTCGGCTAACATCATCTCAGAAGTTCCCTTAAATATAAATTATAATAAATATCCATATTAGTTTGTTTTGTTTTTTCCGTTATTTGTTTGCCCACACCAGCCAGATACCCATGGCCTTTCACTATCTCACATTTAGGGGTGAGGAATGTACCTCAAAACGTTTTCTGTGATTGCAGCAGCTGCTGTTGTGGCAGCAACAACAGCATTACAGTGCAAGACTACAGTGATAGCCAGTAACTGAGGGAACTTATCCCTGTAACTGTTCAGGGCATGCACAATGTTGTCGCATTGAAATAAAATATTATTTTGTACCTTTAAGCCCTCCTTTAACACTGCATCAGTAATTTCCATCCACAGGTAGAGTATGACTAGCGAGTACTCCAGTGATATCTCCTCCTCACTTGCTTTCATAGCCTGATTGTACTTGACGATGTATTTTTGAGTGTCCAAAAAGGAACCAGGTGAGGGATGAGTTACTATCCCAGGTGAGTAGTTTTTAGCCTGAGCTCTGGGGAATCCCCAAAAGAACGAGAAGTTTCCTTCAAAGGGTGGCTGTGCTCTTAGAGATAGCGTGAGGAGCTCGGTCATTCGAGAGGAAGCTGGTTGAGTTGAATTAGGCGTCTGACTAGGATGCCTTTTGGACACCTTGTAGGCGAGGTGTTCCGAGCAAAACCTACTGGGAGGAGGTCCCGGATCAGACCCAGGAGGGAGTATATATGTTGGCCAGTTTGGGAACAACTCAGTGTGCCCCCAGCCCTGGATGAGCTGGAAGACGTGACCAAGGAGAGGGAAGTTTGGGCTGCTCAGCTGAGACTGGTACCCCTGTGATCTGAACCCAGACAAGGAACATTGGATGAAAAACACTGATGGATGATGGACGGGGTGGCTGTAGCTCAGGAGGTAGAGCAGGTCATCTGCAGATCAGAAGGTGGTTTGATTCCTGGCTCCCTCAGTCTCCATGCCAAATATCCTTGAGCAAGATACTAACCCCCACTTGCTCTCTGATGCATACATCAGAGTATGAATGCGTATGAATGTGTATGTTAGCTAAAGCACTGACAAAGCATAGAGTGCTTGTGTGTATAGGTGAATGAGGCGTGTTGTATACAGCGCTTTGAGTCCTCCAGGAGAGTAGAAAAGCACTATATAAGAATAAGAATCAGTCCAAAAAAGGCCACATCGGCACTAATAAATACATGTGTGTCATAAACGACTCCACTCAGTCACTTGAAGGTTAAAGAAAAGTCTCCTTTCAGACAGGCAGAGCTCCAGGATGACATAAATGAGGATTATTTGCTCTTTGTAAATTGTAGCCTGATTGCATGTAAATCTCTTTTGCAGCCATAGAGACCGAGAGCACGAGCTCAGGGAGGACCTGCTTGTCCCCAGTCCTCCCTCACCTCCTCCACCACCTCGTATCTACAAACCCTGCTTTGTCTGCCAGGACAAATCATCAGGATACCATTATGGAGTCAGCGCCTGCGAAGGCTGCAAGGTAGGCAGCGAAACATAAGCACTTGAGTTTGGAAAACATGCACACTAAGCCACAGTGCTCCTTCTGGACCATAAAACTTCATCTACAGTTTGAAAGCCGACTTAAATGGCAGCGTATAGAGCAAGAGACTTCGGAGTATTTGCAGAAAGTGTCAGCAAAGAGGTCACGACCTTTATGCCACCCGAGGATCTCTAAGCCTCGTGGCTTCATCTAATCCTGTAGAGACACACAAAGGATCTGTCTGTGCAATTAGTGTCTGCTTTGATATTGCTGTGTGTGTGTGTGTGTGTGTGTGTGTGTGTGTGTGTGTGTGTGTGTGTGTGTGTGTGTGTGTGTGCGCTTTGATGTGCTTGTGGTCAGACTCATGTTCTGTTAGACCTCCGCCCAGCAGCCCATCAGCTGAATGAGTCACTTCAGGATTACACTTGTTACAGTTGAAATAATTCTGCAGTTTTCATTCCAGTTCCAGCTCCTGCACACGCTCACAGCGCTTTCTGTTACCCTTTTTCTCAACATCTGTTTCTCTCTGTCAGGGTTTCTTTCGGAGGAGCATCCAGAAGAACATGGTGTACACGTGCCACCGGGACAAAGTCTGTGTCATCAACAAAGTGACGAGGAACCGGTGTCAGTCATGTCGACTGCAGAAGTGCCTGGATGTGGGCATGTCTAAAGAGCGTGAGTACGGGCGCAGGTTGATTTTTGTGGGTGTGTGGAAGAAAGGCAGCTTCTTAAGCAGGCAAATGCTTTAAGTTGCTTAGAGGTCTTGCAGTTTTACTCTTTGGGGTGGCTGTGGCTCAGGAGGTAGAGTTGGTCGGCTACTAATCAGAAGGTCGGTGCTTCAATCCCTGCATTTCAGACTTATGTGAATATTAGATAGGAAGCACTTACAGGGGGTGTATATGTGTTTATGGGGAAAGACTTTTCCTGACTTCTGGGCCTCAGTGCTGTATTCTAACCTTGTTGTTTGTCTCCCTCTGGTGGTCGTTCCTAGTTAACACATGGCCCTGAAAGTTGCTCCTGCATGTCTATGCTGGCTGCTTTTTCATATCATTTCATAATGCACAGCGTGTGAACCAAGAATCAAGTCAGTATGAATGTAGTAGATGTGATTATACTCATTTATTTCATGAAAAGGAAAACTTTCCCTTACCCTGGTCTGGAACAGATGCTGTTTGGCAGATTTTGCTTCCTGTGAAAAAAGAGAGTGGTGTTAACTGTAAGCAGCAGTTTGAGACATGAACCCCCGTTTAGTGTTGAGTCAATCTGCAAATAAAAAGAAACTTAATAATTTTGGACTTTTAGGGCTAATTCGTGAAACAGTCTCCAGGCTAGTTGTTTCCAGTCCATGTGCTAAGTGAAGTGGCTGCATATTAAACGGGGAAGTATTTCAGGTGTCCGACGTCTTACGGTGGATTGCAGATTCTTCATGGGGATGAATGTTCTCAGCTAAATCCTCTCATCTTCATTTCCATTCCAAGTGGTGCGAAATGACCGAACAAAGAAGAAGAAGGAAGAGAAGAAGCAGCCCGACACAGAGCTCTACGTCCTGTCAGCAGACATGGAGCAGATGATCGAACGAGTTCGCCGGGCCCATCAGGATACATTCCCCTCCCTCTGTCAGCTGGGAAAATACACCACGGTACTCACACACACACACACACACAGACGAGCGTATGTGAGTTCAAAAACTGAAGGTCAAAAACTGATTTTTATTCAATCGGCCTTTGGTTTCTCTTCTATCCTGCAGAGCAACAGCTCGGAGCAGCGCGTGGCTCTGGATGTGAGTCTCTGGGACAAGTTCAGCGAACTGTCTACCAAATGCATTATTAAGACAGTGGAGTTTGCTAAGCAGCTCCCAGGTTTCACCACCCTAACCATCGCTGATCAGATCACGCTGCTCAAAGCCGCATGCCTCGACATACTGGTGAGGATTTCCTGCAAGCTGCAATAAACAATTTCTCACAAACAGACGTCGCGGATGGAAACTGAACGCCTCTGACACGTCGGCCTCCGTTATAACAAAGAGTTACTAAACAGATAATGAATCCTTTTCCTAGATTCTGAGGATCTGCACCCGCTACACTCCAGACCAGGACACCATGACCTTCTCCGACGGCCTCACCCTCAATCGTACTCAGATGCACAACGCCGGGTTCGGACCGCTCACAGACCTGGTGTTCGCCTTTGCCAACCAGCTGCTCCCGCTGGAAATGGATGATGCAGAAACGGGGTTACTCAGTGCCATCTGCCTGCTCTGTGGAGGTACTGCACTGTGTGTCGCAGCAGCATGAGTGAAAGGAAAGACAAAGGAGACATACTGACACTGAAGCGATGCTTTGTGTTTGTTATTTGTTTTTCACAGATCGTCAGGATCTGGAGGAATCAGAGAAGGTGGATATTCTTCAGGAGCCGATGCTCGAAGCTTTGAAGGTTAGACTTTAAGTTATTACTCGACTTCCATTCTTGAGCATAAACTTTGCTGTACAAAACTAACGTGTGCAGTTGAACAGATGTGCGTATCTGTGTTTCTGCGCTCTAAGCACAGTGTGTCTTTACTGAAGGCACAAAGCTTTAAAAGGAGTTATCTTAATAAAGTGACATTTGGCGCTCATGTTCATGTTAATCAGGACACACGCCACTTCACGCGGCGGTGTGACTCACTGATGCGCACTGATGGAGGAGGAGGGAGAGAGAGAGAGTGTGTTCAGCTGACAGGATAGAGATTAGTAGCTGCCCACGTGTGTTGAACTAGTTTCAGTGGAGAACAATGATTGGTCATGAAGAGCAAGAGAGGAATCCTGAATTTTACTTGTTGTAGTCAAGTAATCAATTACTTCAATGCTACTGTATAACCCTAAATAACATTCTTTCCATTTATTTAAATTAGAGCTGGGCGATATGAGATTTTTTCATATCACGATATGTTTTTTTCATTTCAGGCGATAACGATATCTATCACGATATAAGCCAAATAACTATATTTGTAAGATTTAAATGTGCCGTTGCTCACAAGTAAAATGTGAAATAATCAGCAGCTTGTTTTTATTTAAATATTATTTCCCATAATAAGTTCAACAGGGTAGATGTACTTAAGGAACATGAGACTTTTTCAGATAAATAAAGGCAAATATTGCAAACTACACAAAAGGCAGCCACTAAAGCGTTTAAGTTTCAAAATAGAACAAACGAAACAGACTAAATTGTCAATTCCACTTAGAAACAAAATATTAATTCTAAAAATAAATCTTAGTTTGTTTTACAGAAGAACAGACAAAACTGACTAACTTTTGTCAATATCAAATAAACTGAGAACTAAAAGGAAATTCTCAATCTCTCCTTGTTGTATAGCTGAGCTTTTCAAACAGTTTTAACAGTTACTTTAGTCTGACAAAAGCCGAATGACGAATTAGCGCTTCCAGTCAGAGATTGAGCATGCACCGCTTTATTGTATTTCCAGACTTGCTTTCGGCACATTTACAGTGCACGCTACTCTGTTTGACTTGAAATAGCAGAAATACCTTCACACTACGGAACTTCTATGGCTCTTCCGTTCGACAATCTCTCCAGCGTTGGAACCATCATCTGTTTTCTCTTCGGTAACCTTCGGTCACGCTCTCGGTTGATTTTTCTAGTCGGCACACTCATTTCCTCCATTACCCGGGCGGCACGGCGGCTCGCTGCTTCCCAAACAAATACACACGTGCGGCTTGGCACTTGTGCTGTACGTAACAAGTCACGTGACGTGACGTTGCGGCTGTGATTGGTTCGGCTCTGGTTCGTTAATTTGGATTGGCTGTTCTTCTTCTTCTTTTTTTTTTTTTAAGAGGACAAGAGAGATGAGGCCTATCACAATAGTTTAACTTTTCTATCGAGAAAAAGTTATTTCGCAATACATATCGTTATCGTTCTATCGCCCAGCTCTAATTTAAATACTTATTCCATCTGTGCATGAATATTTTACTCCATGAAGACTTGGTGCTTCTTTCTTGGTTTGTCCGTAGTGTAAACTGCTCTTTGCATTTCTTTGGTTAAAGCTGTTTATTTGTGTTTGGAGAGTTTTAGCGTACATCAGTGCTGATTAGAAAACAGTTGATGGTTAACTGCTGATGCACATTCTTAAACACTAATCTCAGGAGTGCTCTGACCGGCATCATTCAAGCAGCTCCTGTTGGAATATCAAAGAAAATGTTGAGATGCTGCTTATATTCAGTTCACTTCATTTCAATTCAGTTCAGCTGTGTTTCTATTGCACCGAATCACCACAACAGTTACCAGTGAAAGTAAAGATGCAACATTAACCCCATCAATCAGAGACCGGGCCTATCCTGATGTGCACATTGGTTCGCCGTCCTGGGTTATGGGGCATTACGGTTAATCGGTTGTGTGTAAATACATCAGTGTGTTACAGCGTGTATGAGTTTCATTCAATTGTTCCTACTAAACGTGGTGATATAGCCTCAAAATCATGTCTCAGTATTTGAAGAATATTTCGACAACACAAAATACTGAAAAACATTTTCTTGATACTTGGAGTCTGCAGGCATCAGCAGTAAAGCTAAACGAAGGGCTTTTAAGTAAGCACAAATAGAGCTAAAATGTGTTTTCCATGGAAAGTCACTAAAAACGTGTAGAGTGGTCCCTCGCTGCAACGCGGTTCACCTTTTGCGGCCTCGCTGTTTCGCTGATTTTTTTGTGCCATTTTGCTTTTCTTTTTTTTTCTTTTTTTCTTTTTTTTAACAGCACATTGTGTTCTGCGTCCTGATTGGCTGCAGACCATTGTCAATCAATCTCGTGCTGTGTCTCCTGTCCAGTACAGAATGTGTTCAGCTTGTCAAATGTACATAAATCTTTGATTGCTAGCATTGAAGTCCTGCGCTGTATGTTTGTAAGTTCCCCCCCCCAAAAAAAAAAAAAAAACAGCAATGTCAACTAAACATTTTGCACCATCAAAGGCACCTGGGGGTTTGGTTTCATTCTATAATACTGGGCTTATTTTTCTACGAAGGTTTGAGTGTTAAACAAGAAGAAAAGTGTGAAAGTGTGAGGAGTTTTACAGCCTTACAACATCTATAATAATTGTAAGAAATAAAGCTGACTACGTCACGGATTTATTTTTAGAACGTAACTCCCGCGATAAACGAGGGAGCACTGTACATGGGTATTATCGTGGATGATAACACCTCTTCCTAAAAACACACGAGCTTTCAATAACTGTTATGAAAAATGGCGTCATAAAAGAATATGTTCATCACCTGTGTCTGTAGCTCTATGTGAGGAGGAGGCGGCCTGACAAACCCTGCATGTTCCCCAAGATACTGATGAAGATTACTGACCTCAGGAGCATCAGTGTTAAAGGTAACACATTTACACACACACACATTAACTGGCAAATACTAACCTCTTGTGTTTGAAACAAACATTGTTAGAGCTACAGCTGGACTCATGATCTTTCTTATCTAAATTGTAATGGTGGTTTCCCAGCAGTGCATTATCCTTCATTAATATCTAAATGAAAAGTAAATGAATTTTAAAGTTTAAGAATTCATTCCTCCTGTGATGTTTTATTCCACCAAGGCCGTTATGCTGACCTTCTCTCTGAAACGCTTTCTCTTAGGAGCAGAGCGAGTGATCACACTGAAAATGGAGATCCCTGGCTCCATGCCTCCTCTCATCCAGGAGATGCTGGAGAACTCTGAGGGACTGGAGGGGCACGGAGCAGGGGGAGGAAAAGGAAGAGGAGGAGCCAGGAGGGAGGTGGAAGAAGAACCGGGAAGCTGCCGTTCGAGTCCGATGCACAAACCGGTCCATTTTCCCAGCCCGAGCCCCGTTCCCCGCTCCCCCTCCTCTCCTTCCCCTCCCTCCACCTGAGGCTCCACAATCTGCAAACGGCAGTAGAGGAACTTGAGCAGAGCATCTTGCTCCAGGAACTTTCTGGGTTGTTGGTGACCTGCTTGGACTGCTTGTGTTGACAAATCATGGTTCTTGATGTTAAATGCAAAAAAGCCAACACATTTCTTTTTAATGATGTATAAAAAGCTGATGACATGGACAGACCGAACAGAATTCCTCGTGAATCAGATTTCCTTCAGTGCAAAAAGTCACGTGCTGTATAGTTGGGAGAATTATTGTGTGTAATATAGTGTATATATCAAAGGCTGTGAAAAAAGAAGAAGCTGAGACTGAGACAGGCTGATACAAGAGGTTATTTTCCTAACTGTACATATGTAAATACTGTATTTTTCCCAGCACAGCTAACCAGCCTTCACCTCACCAACACAAATACACTTCACCTCCTCTCTTCTTACCGCTCACAAGGATAAATAAAAATCTTGGAGACTTTGTAGATCATCATCATCAACTTTGGATTATTTTCAGATTCAAGTCCAGCAAATTAAAGTAGCTTCAACAAACTGTGAAACACATGAAATTAGTTTTATATAATAATAACCTGTCTTCCCCGTTGGTGGACATTATCAACCAAAGCAGAGTTGATAGACGTGTCATCAGTGACATCACGAACATCTAAATGTTCAAGCTGTGTTTTGAGGCTGCAGTGGTGCCCTTGAAGTATTGTTACAACTGAATTCATTTTCAGTGGTCACCGTATGTACAGAATCACCAGTCAGATTAACTGTTTAAGAGGGTTACCATCTTTATGACAAAATAAAGCTTTAATTTAATTTAGTTTTTCCCCTGGGAAGTTTGCTTCGAACACCATGTTTGCCACTGCAGAATTCCCCCTAACTGCAGCTTCAGCACGTGGAAATATGCTATACAAAAAGCTGCCAAACAAATGTTCCATGTATGTAGGGAGGGCACTGGCCACTCTGTAAAATTTGCTGCCCCCCCCAGTGGCCCCGCCCCCGGCAAGACTGTGTTATGTTGGTAATAATTCTAAAAAATGTGAGCACGAGAGAGGAAGACACCCTACAGTGGGTTTAAACATTAACTCAGGCGCTCCTGGTTTGTATGCCATCAAAAGAAAATACCATTTGTTCTGTAGAGGCCACTGCAGTAGAAACATGTTTTTGTCTATCAGTGCCCGGCTCCCTCACTGCTTTTTGCTCAGTTGTTTTTTATTGTGTGCACCTCTTGATGTCACCGTCTGTTTACACAGTGTTACTGCCTCACTACAACTTCCCTGCTGTCAGGTACAATTCATCTCTATTTCAGTGTTGTCCCCTTTACTGTCTGGTGAGGCAACAATGGAAAGTCTCACATACAGAGCGTTCAATAAAGAAGCGTCACTCTCTTATAAATTGTGAAAATATGTGTTTTTGTGGTGCAAAATGCTAGCAGGCAGGGTGTAGATGCAACGCTATAACCAAGTGGCAGGCATAGCATACACTGTGCTTAGTTTGGCCTGAAAGTCCTCAGGTCAAAATGGGCGCCGCCCCTAGGATGGTCAAGAATGATGAAGCTAAGATACTGTGGGACTTAGAGATACAGACAGGCAAACTGGTGATGGCTAACCAACCTGACAGTAGTGACGGATAAGCAGAGGAAGCTGTATTGATAGATGTAGCTATACCAAGTGATAGCAACATCAGGAAGAAGGAACATGAAGCTGGAGAAATACCAAGGGCCAAAAGAGGAGCTCAAGAAGATGTGAAGGCAACAGTGGTCCCAGTGCAATTGGAGCACTCAGGGCAGTGACCTCCAAAACTGGGCGAGTGGCTCCAGCATATTGCAGGAACAACATCTGAGATCTCTGTCCAGAAGAGCTCAGGCTGTTGCTCAGGGAGTAGAGCAGATCAGCTACTGGAAGGTTGGTGGTTTGATTCCTGGCTTCCCCAGTCTGCATGCCAAATGTCTTTGGGCAAGATATTAACCCCAAATTACCCTCCGATGCGTTCATCGGAGTGTGAATGTTTATTAGTTGTACTTGAGTTTATGAGTGCGTGTGAATGTGGCATGTTGTATAGAGCTCTTTGAGTACTCTGGGAGAGAAGAAAAGCGCTATAAGAATCAGTCCATTTACCATTTACCAAGAGTGCAGTCCTGGGAACAGCCAAGATACTGTGCAGGACCCTCCCAAGCCTCTGGTAGAGGACCCGAGCTTGCAAGATAAAGACTGGCCACAACTCGAGTGTGAAATTTATTAGACCAAATAACATCACTGCTTCTTTAAATAAATAAAATAAAATAAATCTCAACATAATAAATAATTTATAAGCAACATGGAGTCGTGTCGTGTTCATGTCTGAACTTTGTCTGAGGCACAATTTAAAAACTTATATTGGTATTAATAAATATTTTAGAAAAAGAGGATAGGAAATTGGTATATCTGTCAAGATTAAATTCAGAGGTTTTTTAAAATAAAAATAAAAAACATCAGTCAATTTTAACAGAAGGGGGCAGCATTTCATCAGAGCGCCTATCTAAACGTTTTCAGGTTTTCTGACTTTTAATGTTTCTTTTTAGCGCCATTATATAGCCAGTATAAATAAAAATGTCAATTTAAGTCAGTTTTATTTATGTAGCACAATATAATAATAGGAGATGACCAAAAGTGCTTCCAAAGTAAACACATTTACATTGCAGGTCTACAAAAACCCAATTTCAGACCACAACAGTCACAAGAGAACCGGTTCTCTACAAGAACTAGTTCTCAATTCTCATCTCTACTAGTAAGAAATTAATAAGACAAATGTTCACAGTAGACGTAACAAAACCATGAAGCCTCAGATGTGAATAAAAGCAAGTGAAAACAGGTAACGGGTCTTTATAAAGCTATTTCTCAGTTGTTTGACAAGTTTTTATTGTGGTGTTGCAGTCAATTCTAGACCCTGGGGGCAATAACAGCAAAGGACAAGGTGCCTTTATCTTTTAGGTGAGAATGGGAAACTGGTAGAAGATGCTACGAGGATGGTCTGAGTTCCCTGAGGCAAAAATCTGTAGTTAAAAAATTGTGATAAATTGTATAGCTGAACCATAGAGGAGGTCTATAAACAAATTATATAATTTTGAATTCAATCGAAATTTCACAGGCAGCCAGTGCAATTGAGCTTAAATGGGAGGGGTGTGTTTTTCTTTGTACCACACAGCGGGGTTTTGAACCATCTTCAATCAAAAAAAGAGCGAAACTGGGCAATCCTGAGTTACAGGGAGTGCAGAATTATTAGGCAAGTTGTATTTTTGAGGAATAATTTTATTATTGAACAACAACCATGTTCTCAATGAACCCAAAAAACTCATTAATATCAAAGCTGAATGTTTGTGGAAGTAGTTTTTAGTTTGTTTTTAGTTTTAGCTATTTTAGGGGGATATCTGTGTGTGCAGGTGACTATTACTGTGCATAATTATTAGGCAACTTAACAAAAAACAAATATATACCCATTTCAATTATTTCTTTTTACCAGTGAAAAACCAATATAACATCTCCATATTCACAAATAGACATTTCTGACATTCAAAAACAAAACAAAAACAAATCAGCGACCAATATAGCCACCTTTCTTTGCAAGGACACTCAAAAGCCTGCCATCCATGGATTCTGTCAGTGTTTTGATCTGTTCACCATCAACATTGCATGCAGCAGCAACCACAGCCTCCCAGACACTGTTCAGAGAGGTGTACTGTTTTCCCTCCTTGTAAATCTCACATTTGATGATGGACCACAGGTTCTCAATGGGGTTCAGATCAGGTGAACAAGGAGGCCATGTCATTAGTTTTTCTTCTTTTATACCCTTTCTTGCCACCCACGCTGTGGAGTACTTGGACGCGTGTGATGGAGCATTGTCCTGCATGAAAATCATGTTTTTCTTGAAGGATGCAGACTTCTTCCTGTACCACTGCTTGAAGAAGGTGTCTTCCAGAAACTGGCAGTAGGACTGGGAGTTGAGCTTGACTCCATCCTCAACCCGAAAAGGCCCCACAAGCTCATCTTTGATGATACCAGCCCAAACCAGTACTCCACCTCCACCTTGCTGGCGTCTGAGTGGGACTGGAGCTCTCTGCCCTTTACCAATCCAGCCACGGGCCCATCCATCTGGCCCATCAAGACTCACTCTCATTTCATCAGTCCATAAAACCTTAGAAAAATCAGTCTTGAGATATTTCTTGGCCCAGTCTTGACGTTTCAGCTTGTGTGTCTTGTTCAGTGGTGGTCGTCTTTCAGCCTTTCTTACCTTGGCCATGTCTCTGAGTATTGCACACCTTGTGCTTTTGGGCACTCCAGTGATGTTGCAGCTCTGAAATATGGCCAAACTGGTGGCAAGTGGCATCTTGGCAGCTGCACGCTTGACTTTTCTCAGTTCATGGGCAGTTATTTTGCACCTTGGTTTGTCCACACGCTTCTTGCGACCCTGTTGACTATTTTGAATGAAACGCTTGATTGTTCGATGATCACGCTTCAGAAGCTTTGCAATTTTGAGACTGCTGCATCCCTCTGCAAGATATCTCACTATTTTTGACTTTTCTGAGCCTGTCAAGTCCTTCTTTTGACCCATTTTGCCAAAGGAAAGGACGTTGCCTAATAATTATGCACACCTGATATAGGGTGTTAATGTCATTAGACCACACCCCTTCTCATTACAGAGATGCACATCGCCTAATATGCTTAATTGGTAGTAGGCTTTCGAGCCTATACAGCTTGGAGTAAGACAACATGCATGAAGAGGATGATGTGGACAAAATACTCATTTGCCTAATAATTCTGCACTCCCTGTATAGTAGAGGTAACAAAGGTATGGATCATTTTTCTAATGCCTTTAGTGCTAAAGTTTACTTTAATTTAGTGATGGTTTCTGATTGGGGGCAGCAACCCTCCACAAAACTACTGGTTTAATCGTTAAAAAGCAAGTAACTGTCCAAAAAAAACTCCAACATTTTCTTGTTTTGCTATCTGGGTGGTTAACATTGTTGTCTCACAGCAAGAAGGATACAAACCATACTGTCATCTAAGGTCATCTGGGTGCTTCAGCTTCCTCCCACTGTCCACAAATATGCATGTTAGATCAACTGGTGGTTGTCTGCCCTGTGATCAGTGCTTTGTTCAATGAGGTGCTCTGCCTGTTGCAGGGCCCATGCCTGACAGGGGCTCCAGACAAGAGTAGAAGATTCAGTTTTGTTTTTTGTGTGAATATTATTGCCCTGTCAGCATAAAATAATGTTTACATTAAAACGTGTTCGTTTTCTAGCATTTTTTCATTTGTTTTTGGGAACAAATGAAAAAATCCAGTCAGCCTCTGACCCCACCCCTCCTTATTTCATGTTTTGGTTTGGTCCACGTGCTGATTCAGAGCGCTAGAGCACATAAAGCTGTTTGACTTTCCCACTATTAGAAAAGAAAATAACGTGTTTATGTTTTTTAGCCAACATGTAATTGATCACAGATCAAACCTCTGGCTCAGGGCTAGATGTGCCACTCCCATCACCCCACACTCACCCTCTTGACAGTTAACCAGCCGCACCGATATCTGAAGATGTAGGCGAGTTCTTTTCTGTCTAAAATCTGTCTGATTGCTGGATGCCCTGTGGGAAGTTTTCATTTGTCTTCTATGCACATAATATATTATCATTATAACCCAAATAAACAAAGAATTTTTGGAGAAGTGTGTATTTCACAATGTAATACTTTCAGGCTTTAGGTATGTCTTTCAATATTAAAGTGGTCGTGGCCACAGTGATATTTTTTCACACAGAATAATAGTGAACAACATGTATCAGGTAAAGACAGGTAGAGTTATCTGGTTGGTGAGAGTGGGTTCTAACTTTGTAATAGAGAAAATAGTGGAAAATTTGACCCCGCAAACCAACTTCGTGCTCCAGACAGGATGTGTTCTGTTGGTTAAATAAAAGTTAAACTGAATACTCAGAATACTTTATTTGTCACGGTCTGGCTGGCAGACCGTGGGGATGTGGGGAAAGGAGGACCCAAAACGCAGACTCTGCGATGCAAACAGTGCTCTTTATTTACAGTGAAAAGGCTGTAAATACAATAACTCCCCGTTGCTCCCTCGAACCCCGTGTGCGTGCTTCCCTCCGATATCTGTGCTCGTGCTCCCCGCTGTTGTGTTTCCGCACCCCCGTGCGTGCTGCCTCTCCGGACCACTCCTCCTCCTGTAGGGAAACCAGAGACGCAGCCGTCAACACTAACCCTCGGCGGGCATGTACGCACAGCACAGACCTAAGCTAACACACACTGACTTGGTAAGAGAACTCAATGATCCCGCGTCGGTGGGAGCTCCAAGACTCTCCTAAGTAGCTCCCCCGACGAGCCCTGATCAGCGGCAGGTGTGTGGCTTCGGGTGT